GGCATGGTTTGTGTTTGGAAAAATAACAGATACATCACGTCCTGCTTCGCCACGCCAACTCCCTGCACCGACGAACATACGGCACCCGGCTCCAACAACACCGGCAAAACAAAACAACCTACATACACTAAGGGTCGAGGACGCAGAGCTCCCCTGCCCCTCTGGCTCTTCATGGTGGCCTTGGTTGGAATGCAATGGAGACCGACCCAAGCAGAAGGCAAGCAGGCAGGCAGGAGAAAGAAGGCTCACAAGAACACACACTCTACACATCAACTGTGCAGGGCCCTGAATCCATCGAGGCCCGCCTTGTGGAAAATTCTCCGAGGCTGCCAGTTCCTGCAAAGGGGCGTGTCTACAAACAGGCACGGCGGTTTGCGGAGAAGGTCCTGCTGCAGAACACCTTGCTTGGCCGGCCGACCTGCCTTCGGCTCCGCCCTGTGGCGGCCATGGGTGCTGCCGGCTCTTCGTCTCCTGCGTCAGAGGGTGCAGCCGCAAGGCCGGGAGGCGTACAACACAAGAACAGCCTAACCCAGCAAGCTGCCAAAAAGCCATGTATGCTCGGCGGTGTGATGACTCCAAGACTGTGCAGTGGCCGTCGGACGGCGGCCCTCAAGCTGATTTCTCAGCAAGGCCTGCAAAACTATAGACGGCAAAGGAGGGGAGCCTTTTTTCTCGGCGTCGACCCTTTCCCTGGTTTCCTTGATCGTCACGGCCGAGATGGCCTGGGGACCAATGGGTTCACCAGTGAGGTAATAACCATTTGCACTTTTGTAAAAGCGGCACCCCGTGGCAAGGGCCGGATCGATGTGCAGTATGATGTCGCACTTGGGTGGCAGCAGTCGGCTGCCAATGTTGGCCGCGTCAAGGAGGTGGATTTGATCCCTGTAGTCTCGGTTTCCAGCACCCGGCAGCAGACCCTCCTTGAAGATCTTTTTGTAGAAGTCATAGTGGGTGCCATGGATCAGGTCGGGGATCTTCTCGGGGTCGACCCGCTCGTGCACTGCATCATAATCCACAGTTTTGGAGTGACCCTGGACGGCTCCCAATACCGACACGGGGCCGGATCTGGTAGGGTCATGCAACCAAAGCAAACGAAAACGCTGCTTGCTGTTGTAGTAGACGCAGGATATGATGGTATCTTGGCGAGCCCTGACTTCTTGCATGATGGGCAAATCCAAGATAGCCTCAAGATCGGCTGTGGCGTTTTGATAAAAGTGTAAGTTGAATTCGCCCTTGTCGTGTCGGAGCACGACCGACAGCCTCTTTGAAACCTTGGTGTCGTACTTGTACTCCAGCCTTCGCGGTGGGTACTCAAAGTGATAGGGGGTGAATCGCAGGCTTTGCTGGACCGGGGGAGGTGTCTCAGGGACAGCCTCAACCCCTTCCTCATACACTCCAAGGGCTGCAAGATCAAGCTTTTCATCTTGCTCGATTTTGAGGCGTGAGTCGGTTGGGGTCTCAGGGGCCGTTTCTTCGGCCACCTCTTCCTCGGTGGACTCCCATTCCTCTTCTTCTGTCCATTCCACCTCGGGGTCCGGTTTGCGGCTCGCCTGGTGCTCTTCACGACGATCTTCCCATTCGGGGGCGTCCTCCCTGGATCGCTCCCCCTGTGGGGCCGACTTCGGCTGCATATCCTCTGGGATTTCGCGAGGGTAAAAGTGTCGCATGCACCGGTCGAAGTCCGGCTCATTTGTCTTCCAATGCACTGCATCGTGCAACTGTGACGGCGTCTCTTCGAACAACGCCATCACCAAATCGAGTCCTTGAAGAACTCCGTCCAGGATTTCCCTGATGAGGTCATCTTCTTCTTCGCTGTACAAAATTGAGATCCACCCTTCTATGGCCGCGCCATAAGTAGCCTCCTTCGAGGTCTCCTGGGGACCAATGGTTTCTCCAGCAAGCAAAAATGCAAAGAAACTCAGGTTCCAGTTCCCATACGCGGGGAGACCCTTGGTCTTCGAACCCGGCTTGTGAAAGCGATCGTGTTGAGTCTTCGTGTTGCCTCTGTTGATAAAGCTTTCGAGATGCTCCACCGCTCCCCTGGACCTTAGGTGCCGCAATACTGTCTGGCGGCGTGGGCGGTCTGTGGTCTCGTCGGGCCGTGGTCTTCACGATCTGCTGGGCGGCCCTGCCGCCGCTGTTGGGTGGGGGGCCGGCTGCGGTCGCCCCTGCCTCTGTCCTCTCGGGCTGGTCGTTGTTCGGCGCGGCGTTCCGTGTGGGCCGCTTCCCTTTGCTCTGTGCGCCTTCCCCATTCTCCTTGGGGGCGCTCGGGCTCATCATAGCGACGATTGGGTCGGCGATCTTCCCGGTCGGCATCCTGCCAGGATCTGTTGTTCTGGTCCGGCCTTGGCCCCAGTCCGTCCATGTGCCGCGGTCTCGGTTGCGACTGCGGTCTCGCTGGCGTTCCTCTTCTCTATCCTGCCGGCGGTCTTCTCGGGGGACCCTGCGGGTCGACCCCCTTTCCTTTTCTGGCTCTTCCCAATCCCGGTGTGCATCGCGGCGACGTCTGTGTCCTTCATCTTGTGTCTCGCGATCTCTGCGATCCTCGCGGTCACGGCGGTCTCGGTCGTCTCGGTGCTCCTGGGAGTATCGGGGCCGATCGTCGTCACGATCCCTCGGCTCCCCTCGTCCTTGGCCTTGGCCTCCTCGGCCGCCACCTTTCCCTTTTCCCTTCCTGTTGCCATCTCCTTTGCTGTTGCCTTTGCGGGCAACCATTCATTGGCTGTCCTCCGTCGGGTCCCATCGGGCCTGTATCTGCNNGGGGGTACCTGTCTGGGGGCATGCTTGAGAAGGCGCTGCTAGGGTTGGCACAGTGCAACATTGCAAAGGCAGACACTCTGTGACACAACTCTTGCACAAGCGGCTGACAGGCACTGACTTGAACACCCTCGACCCCATTGTGTGTCCTGTGCTGGGCCGGCGTCTCGGCACCATCCGTGGCACGACCTGAGGAAAGCAAGGGCTGGTGAGAGGAGGCTCCGGGCTGGGTGTGGGTGATGGCTTGGCTTCGGACCTCTAAGATATGACTGTGCCGAACATGGTGAGGTACATGACAAGTGTTGAGCAACTGAATTTGCATCACATCTAATAAAGCTGTTGCAGAAAGTGCAGGCTGAGATTGCGACTGCACGGCTCTCTCCTGGGGCCGAGGTGTAAAGGTAACGGCTCAAAAGTGGGGCCGTCTGCGGTCTCCCACGGGGTGGCTGCTGCCAGCTTCCCTCGCCTTAGTCCACGCTTTCAAGGTCAATGTGCCAGGCAATCCTGACCTTAGTGCAGGATAATCCTCGGTCGTAGGCTTGCTGGGCTGCCTCATTGGCAAACTCGGCAAGGACATCATGCTGATGCTTTCGAGTGCCTGGCTGATGGGCTGTGTGCCCAAATGCTCGCGCCAGTTTTTGTTGGCAGCGCGGCTGGCTCTGCACACTCAAACTTACTGAGATGAGCATGAAAATGAGAAGGCATTTTGTTATACGGCGAATGCATATCAACATCTCCTTTTGTCATGCCGAAAAGAACTGTATGAGACCTTCGTCTCTGAGGTAGCGACTGCTGGGCTCCCACTAGGGGCCGTGGTTGAAATTGATCGGCTCCCCTCAGGGGCCGGTCGTTTCCTGCACAGGTCCTTCGGAGATTGCTAAATTTCTGACGATGTGCTAACGTGTCCTTCCATGGCATCAACTACGCCTGTGTTACACCCTCTGGTGGGGCGCAGCTATGTACAAAAACTACCCCTCCCCAACAAAACACACCTTTGAGCCGGAGGCTTACTTG